GCGAGATTTAACAATTTCAGAAATTACTATATCAAATAGTTACGCTCTATTTGGGAAAATAAGCCAAAAAGAGTGACACGTTTTCGGAACAGACTTTTTTGTTCTTCAGGACTTGTGTCAGATTTGTACACAATATAAAAAAAATCACATCAAAAATTATAATCAAGGTGAAAATATTAACATTGAAATCTATCTACCTATATATATATATATATATATATATATATGTGTGTGTGTGTGTGTGTGTGTGTATATGTATAATGTGTATGTATATAAATATAGGTATGTCTCATTAAGAACGACAGACAAGGTACTACGGTTAAGCTTTTTATTTAATTTTTCTTGCGTTCGAACAAGAGCTTTGTCCAAATGTTTTATATATATATATATTGCAAATATATATATATATATATATATATATATATATATATATATATATATATATATATGTGTGTGTGTAATTTACATATATATTATTTATCTCTATCTATAAAAGGCAGGATGTGTGTGTGTGTGTGTGTGTGTGTGTGTGTAACGAATGCATGGCCGCAATTTTCGATGGATTTGCACTAAAGTTTACATGCACATGCTCCAAGTTAGAAGGGAAGGCCAAGACCGACGTTGCATTTCCCAACCCCCATCGATAGTGGAAATAATCGACTTTTTTATGCTTCTACGGCAGTTTTCATGTAGTTTGCGGCCATTTTGTACTGGCCAGACTGAGAGCCTATAGCTGGCTGCCACGAATAGGCAGGAAGATTCTACTGGCCAGCATGAGAGCCAACAGCTGACTGACACGAATGTTAACTAGCATGCTAGCATGCAAAAAAAAATGGGTAGCTGCATTCGTCACAAGTGGGAAAAATTTAAATCTGCATGGCACTTTACTCCAATTGGCTCATTTGTTTGCTTAAAATCAACGTTGATTCTGATTCCGCAGAACTGGGTTGGGCGTGAAAAAGTATTTGTTGTTAACATTCTTTTTTCATTCGGTTTTTCCAGTTACGAGTCCTTTTTTTAAAGCTGATCGTTTTGTGTTCATTTTATTTAGTTCTTTTTTTTGTAACAGATTTAATGTTTAGTATAGAGCTTAGAAAAAATTCGCAGTGTGAGATAGGCAAGAAGTAAGGCATGTAGCAACATCAGCATGGCAAAGGGCACTCCTTTAAAGCAAGGAAGGGCAAAACAGTCAAGTGATAGCGATTGGTAGTATATTATATATGCGCTGAAACTTATTGGAAAGCACTCAATATTGGTGATAGAGCTTACATATTTAGTTGAATTCTAAACTATATATATATATATATATATATATATATATATATATATATATATATATATGATAATCAATTGATCCAAAGCAAAGAGATAATGCCACTAAAACGCAAGGGTCTAGTGGGAATGAGAGACAATGAAAAGACTATGAGGAAATGGAAACCCAGTCTTAAGTAGGAAACAATATATAAACCTCGACTGCTGTTCAAAAGAATGCAAATGACTGTGTCGCAGATGATATGTGAGCATATCTCATATATATATACATATATATATATATATATATATATATATTGATAGTAATACTGGTTGGAAAAAACCTCGGATAGCACAACTTGTTGATATGCCAAAACAAATCGGTACCCGAGAAAACAATTGGAAAAAAAGAAAGAACTAAAAACATTTGAACAGGGCGAATAAAATCGTCCAGTGCCTTAAGTCATTAGTCCAAAGAAAAATCCCAAGCGACTAATAAAGCTAAACGTAGAGTGCTCAATACGCTAAGTAGAGCGGGAATAAATAAAATCAATCCTAAAGAGCCAGGAAAACCTACCTAGGTTTCACCAAAACGGATCTACAGGGTAAGCTGGCAATAAATACTGTTTCATGTCATTTCCTCTTTAGCCAGCTTACCCTGAAGATCCGTTTAGGTGAAACTAGATAGCTTTTCCTGGTTCTTTAGGATATATATATATATATATATATATATATATATATATATATATATATATATATATATGGTATGATATACATATATATTATATGAAATAAACATAAGTTATACGGATGTCTACACTGAATGGGTTCAGTATGTTTGTTGACTTGAGTGTCCACTTTTATATATGCACACGCTATATCTCTGATATTGAAAAGTGTTACAGATAAGTATAGAACAATTTAAAATTATATATATATATATATATATATATATATATATATATATATATATATATATATATATATATATATATAAACCATGAAATTACATGCGATATGAAACACCTGCATGCGTGTCGAATAGCTGTAAATGTGTTAATTTTAAAACCATGGAAGTATATGCAGTGTCCCTCCAGGTCGTGGGCAACCATGGCTCTCCACAACTTCCTATTCATTGTATTTTCTTAGCCAAACTCTTTATCATCACTCCTTATCGCTACTCTGTCATCCATTTACACGCATTCATTAGGTAAGTTGCTCGCTCTTTCTCTCTTTCCTTCAATACGTCTTGTGAACATGAAAACGGAACAGTCTATTATTCAGGAGGTATTGGCAGGGCGTAATGGTCGTACCAACTAACGAAGAGAGGGAAAAGAGCAAGTATAATAGGATGGATTTGAGACGGGGAAGCTTAGAAGGTTTCATCCTCACAAGACGCATATAGCGATTTTCCAATTGTGGCCACAATGAGGGGCGCACAATGAGGATTGAACTCACTACTCAGTCGTAACTGTTCTAGCGAGACAAGCTTGTTAACCATTACACCGCTCTGAGGAGCCCCACTATATATATATATATATATATATATATATATATATATATATATATATATATATATATATATATATATATATATATATATATATATATATATATATATATATATATATTTTATATTTTCTTAAAAACTCTCTCCTTTTAATGTTAAGTATAAGTACTCATTAATTTCCATTTTCCTCAGAACTTACTCGAATTTCTTTTCTCATCCTGGGTATGAGGATAAACAACATCCTCGTCCTGGGTATGAAGATAAACTAAATTCATATAATTTAAGGAAGAAAGAAAAACATTTTTTTTTTTTTGAATTATTAATTTTTCTCTGTCTTTCAAACTGTCCGGGGTATGACGGTAAACTACTTCCGCGTCCTGGGTAAAACGATAAACTACGTCCAACATTAAGGCTTCTGATCAGGAGGTTTTGAAGGGAGTGGAACCACCTCTTAATTGCTGGTATTCCCAGTCCACCCTGACCGGGGTGGTAGTACCTGTTAGGGTCCCAGCTATGGGCAAAATAGTTAACACCCAAACTTGTGTAAAAATAGGTTTTAATACCAGAAATACTTTGTAATAAAAAAATTATTACCAGCCATAATTTTTGAAGGATAAATTATTATCAGCAGTCCTTTAAAAAAAATACCAGCAATACAAACAGTTATACATTCTTTGAAAAAAAATATGACCAGCTATAGATTTCTTCAATGAGGAATACTCCCAGAAATAGATTTTTGGAGAAAAACATTATCAGCAATAAAAATTTTGTTGGCATTAAATAACCCATTGAGGTTGATATGCTGTAAAACAAAAACCAAACCAAACCAAACCAAACCAAACCAAAATCGAATTTCTTTCGTAATTTGTAGTAAAACTAAGTTTTCCCTGACGATCCGCTTAGGTAAAACCTTGGTAGGTTTGTCTGTCTCTCTAGTTTTGACTAGGTCTGCTCTACTTTTGTATTGAGCACTTTTTTAGTTAGTTGATTACTCGTATCGGATTTTTTTTCTTCGGGCTTTGGACCTGTATGCTGTACGATTATTTTCGACAGACGTCCATGTTCCTAGCTCTTTCTTTTTTTAAAACCTTTTTTTCCTTCGAAATTGATTTGATCATTAGTAAATCAAGAAACCGAAGGTTTTCCGAGACGAGTGTAGTTGCCTATATATATACATATATATAAATCGTAAAAAGCCAGGTACTAACTACCTAGGTTTCACCACATGGGATATTCAGGGTGAGATTTAAGGTACTGGACGATTTTTTTCGCCCTGTTTGGATGTTTCTGTTGCTTCCTTTTTTTTTCTTCTATTTTTCCTTATTTGTTTATTTGAAAATTGTTCTATTCTGGTTTTGCACCCACCGAGTTTAAATAGATTTACATTATATATATATATATATATATATATATATATATATATATATATATATGCAGACATATAGTTTTAAAGTGTGCTATATTTATGGGATAAAGTGCTCAATATCAGAGATAGAGCCAATGTAAATATAAATATAAAAAGTGAACATTGAAGTCAACACTCAGAGGCGACAGTTTGTTTCATGCTAGACGCAATCGTCAGGCCGATTGCGTCTAGCATAAAGCAGCTTGTCGCCTCTGAGTGTTGTCTTCAATATTCACTTTATATATATATATATATATATATATATTAGTGGGTACACACATTCGAGTTGCTCTCCCCGTTTTTATTTTATTAAACAATTAAATTTATAAAAAACGTACTAAATTCAGAAATCCGAAATAGAAGAAAAATTGCATCTCCAACAGGAATCGAAACTACATTATTTTTTTTACCATCGTGAAATACACTTTTTGAGCTAAAGTATATTTCTACCCAGTTCGCCCTAAGAGACCAGACAGTACACAATGCTTGAATAAAACTATTAACTAAGGCACGTTTCTCATTGGGACTTCCATGAATCTATATCTGCTAGCTACAATTTCTTACACGGAACGTAATCAAAAGTGAAATTATATGAAAAGATTTTTTTTTATCCGACATTATTTCATATTATAACAAACTTTTTTTTAGTGGGTATCCGTGTTTGAGTTGCTATCCCTGACTTTTTAAAAATTTTATTTTATGGAACCGTGAATTTAATCGTAACCAGTATAAACTGAGAAGTCCTCTAGAAGAAAAATTGTGCTCCCGACAGTAATCGAACCTGCAATTTTTCTATTCGTCAATCAGAACATTTGCATCTTTTATCTCACTCAGTTATTTAAATTTGTTTCATGTCATCCAATCTCACTTTCTTCGAAACAGAGAATACTTTATTAGTCCCTCTGTTCCAAAGAAAGGAAAATCCTGTGAAGAAAGCAGCAGACTTCGCCAGGTTAGGTGAAGATCAGGTCAGTAGACATTTGCGCATTTCTCACATTTGTCTCTCAGATATGTCTGAAACTTTCTGTCTGCTAACCGCATTAGACAATAATTCACAGAACAATCAGTAAACGACAAAGTGTCGGCCTGGTGATAGGAAAAGCACACGGACAATATAGAAAAAGAAACTGTATGAAAGAACATTGTCAGTGCTTTGGATATTTCAAGATGAAAAAGCGGCGGTGTCTAGACTGACTTTTGGGTGAATTAGGTCATACACTACAGAGACCCTCTTGTGGAGTTAACGTTTTATTATAAGTAATGTCGGTCGCTGGCTGGTCATGTGAAATAATCATCCATGTTATAAATCGATGAAAAATCGGTCCCTACACGCAAGCCATCAATCTGCTAGAGGGTGACATGCCACTAGCGTTTACCGGTAGCAAAAATTAGCCGTGCACGGAAAAGTATATTTTTAAAGTAAATTTATGAGTTTGTGTGACATAGCCTACGATCACGTCATGCTGAGACATCGGTAATATTAGCGAAGTTAAGCAACGTCGAACTTGGTCGGTACCTCGATGGGTGACCGCTTGGGATATACCTGGCGCTGTAAGATTGGAATAGTCGGTGGTGTTAATGGATAACGAAACGGAAATCGGAAATTCAGGTTTTAATTTTGTTATGTTCTCTTACACGTAAATAATCTTGGATCTTCTCTCTTAGTCATGGGTTAAATTGTAGACTTTGTATCAATAGATCATTATTATCTCCAAAATATGTGAAAACAAATTCTTTCTTTAAATAAATTGCAAAAGGTTGATCAGCCGTAAAAACACAAATTGAGAAAAACAATCAACATGAGGGATATAGAAACACACACACATATATATATATATATATATATATATATATATATATATATATATAGCCTTGGAGCGGATAGAATGGACATCAACGTGTTTTTGTGTTTTAGATGACTCTGCAGTTTTCAATCTGCTTCTCTGAATCATCTTCAAGAAGCGAGAGCAAGATCTAAAAGGTCAGCCAATCTAACAGGGACCTCATCCCACAATCCTCACTTTTCCTCAATATGCGGCCTTCTTTGTAAATCACTAGCAGGTCTTAAATGTCACTTAAGATTATCGCACAAAATTTCATAACTGAATCAATTAAGCTGTCAGATCCTCATACGTCGAAACCGACAAGAGAGTTCATTATATATATATATATATATATATATATATATATATATATATATAGATAGATAGATAGATAGATAGAAAGGCAGTGAAATATTGGTTGAAGAAAGTCAGGCTTCCACAAGTCGCAAAATTTTGTACGCGACCAGTCGCCGAATTTATTTTGAAAATACCTCGCTGTCCACACAGGTTCATCTCACAGTGCACATGCGTCCCGAGGGTCGTAAATTGTGCAGGGTTCGCGTAATCCAGTCTTCCTATTCTTATTCCTAATATTTGTTATTTTGCTGTTTTTATTCCCAGTAAAACATCCAGGGTCCATTACTGAAAGAAACTGTTGTATGGACATAAGTAAGTGCAGATGATGAGGATATATACGAAGTCAGAGATCAGCGTTCTATATATCTATCTTATTGCGTAGAGATCTATCTATCTTATTGTGTTCAAATCTATCTATCTATCTTATTGTGTTCAAATCTATCTATCTATCTATCTATTGTGTTCAGAATTATCTATCTTATTGTGTTCAGATCTATCTATCTTATTTTGTTCAGATCTATCTTATTGTGCTCAGATCTATCTATCTATCTTAATTTGTTCAGATCTATCTTATTGTGTTCAGATCTATCTATCTATCTTAATTTGTTCAGATCTATCTTATTGTGTTCAGATCTATCTATCTATCTTAATTTGTTCAGATCTATCTTATTGTGTTCAGATCTATCTATCTATCTTAATTTGTTCAGATCTATCTTATTGTGTTCAGATCTATCTATCTGTAAGTGCATGTACACATACAGTTAATTGCGACTTACAAGCATATGTGAAAACAGCCTTTTTGCACAGAAAGCTGGAAGTTCGCTTACTTATATTTGATGACGGTAATCTTTGTCTTTTTTAAAAAAACTAGTTCTCTTTTGTCTCCCGTCAATTTGCCAAACCAAAATTAATGTCAAGCTCATGTCTGCTTAAGAAGCGTATGTAAACATCAATCAACTTCATGGAAAAAAATCCATTGAAGACTAATAATTCTCGTTTCGTAAACTACCGCTTAAAATTACTGGAATTGCATGACTTTCCCCACAAAATGTTTAAAATTTCCAGTTCCTACTTCTGCCGCTATTTTGATTTTTACCTCGCTGTCTTTGAAAAGAAGAATTAGAATTTTCACATCCGTTAAATTTCTAAGCAGTGAGTAGTAATGGATAGCATTTTACTTAAAAATTATTTCGTCTTTATTTTAATTATTTTTTATTTTGAAAGACATTCAGTGCATTGAAGCTTATTGTTGGTTTTTACGAAATACTCCCCACCACTGTGTCTCTCTCAGATGAAACTGCATTTTAATAGTTGGCATCATAGATTATTTGTAGTGATTTAATCTCAATTCTTCTAAGTTGGAATTGTATCAGCGGGAACCTCTCCAATGGAGACGGCATTAAAAACAGATCAATAGGGATTTGAGGACTGGTTGGCAAAAAGGTATGAAGACAAGCTGGTTCTAATTTTAAAGTTTTCAAGCAGAGTAATGTCGACAAATTTGAGAAAGAATCTGTGTTCATTATCAATCTATCTAGCTCTGTTCATTATCTATCTATCTATCTATCTATCTATGTTCATTATCTGCCTATCTATATATTTCTGTTCATTATCTATCTATGTTCATTATCTATCTATCTACCTGTATCTGTTCATTATCTATCTATCTACCTGTATCTGTTCATTATCTATCTATCTATATCTGTTCATTATCTATCTCTGTCCATTATCTATCTATATATCTATCTCTGTTCATTATCTATCTATCTATCTCTGTTCATTATCTATCTATCTTCATTACCTATCTATACATGTTCATTATCTATCTATTTATCAATCACAGCTTAATAATATTTATGCACAGAATACACACACACACACACACACACACACACACACACAAAAACACATATATATATTATAATATTTAAAAAAAAATATGATTCCTTCGCTACATAAGATTTCCCATGTTTCAAAAACGAGAGCCGCAGCTATCAATATAATTATTAAAATTAAGTTGAATCAGGGTGTTGGGTCCTGTTTCATCCTCAAGCGAAAATTTAGGAATAAGCTATCTTGTGGTTTGCGCGTGTTTATAAGTATGGTCCATTGCAACATTAATTACTATGGAAACGGCTGGGCCGGCCATCTTGGTTAGGTGGTCAGATAGTTAATTCTTATCTACAGATTCGTCGGAAAGGTTATGCCAAGGTAGAGTGAGGTAACCATTTCAAAGCTAATTTTGGCATTCGCCGTCTAGTTAGTTTACAGCGAAGGAATATTTCATGGTGCGATGTCAAGTCGTTAAATGTTGAGATGATTTTGTTTTATTATTATCTATCTGTTAATCTCTTTATTTATTTGTTTATTCAAATGGCTGTTCCGTATACAAACGTGTTGCACTGAACTACAATTTGTTTTTTGACGACTTCACAAAGGGTTTTTTCTATTTAATGATTTGGCTAAGCTTTCAAGATTTTTATTAAACTATGGAATTTATTTATTCATCTATTTTTTTATGCAAATTGTTTAATGCGAAAATTTGTTGATGTCGGCAAAAAACCGTTAACTCCTGCCTATGGTTTAATAACTTTTCATTATTTAGAAACTTAATAATGTGTAGTTTTTCGTGTAAGCATAAAGGGGATGGGTAAAATATTATAATAAAATATTATAATATAAGCTCTACTTCTGTATGGAGCACTGTCTTCTTAAAAATAAAAACAAAAATACTAAGGAACTCTGGATTATTTACCTGACGTGTTCCTTCCTATTTTTCTGCATACTTGCCCACATACATACATATATATGAGAGAGTGAGAAAGAGAGAGAGTGAGAAAGAGAGAGAGAGAGAAAGAGAGAGAGAGAGAGAAAGAGAGAGAGAGAGATAGAAAGACGAGGATATTGATTGATTTTTTACGGCTTCATCAACCCTTTGAAAGTTATTTAAAGTCAGAAAATTCTTTTAGCTTTTAAGAATTTTGAGGAAATAATAATGATCTACTGATACAAGTGTTACTAATTAAACCATACTTGGTGAGAGAAGGTGGATTTTTTTTATCTTTTCCGAGAGTGTTTGCCCGCAAGTGAATATCACGAATCTGACTGGAATTGGTAATCAGCTATACGAGTTCCGATTCTGAATCGTTATCCATTACAATAGCCGTACATCCAAGTTCACAGAATAAATTCCCAGCCATCTCGCTATTGACGCTTCTTAACTTCGATGGTTGTACGAGACAGCATGATATGGTCGTAAGCCTGAAGAGATTATGGATTTCACAATTCATTGCACTGTTGGGATGTGAACTCTATGGACCCAACTGAGGTCGAATTAAAAACATTTTAATAATAATAGTAACAATATTAATTTATAAATTCTATTATTCTTCCGCTTAGACACTGACATTTTCTACCCTATAGTAGAGTCTAATATCTACTTGAAACTTAGCCCTTTTGATCTGGGGAGCCGTGTTTCAATTCCGTGCAGTTATCCATTACTATACGGATATCCAAGCTTATAGCTCCAGGTATTTCCAAGCGGTCATCCATCTAAGTACGAAACAGACACGGCGTTACTTGTTTTGATGATCATACGAGAACTGGTCTTTCAAATGGAGAAAGAGAGGAGAGAGAGAAAGAGAGGAGAGAGGGGAGAGGGGGGGAGAGAGAGAAAGAGAGGGAGAGAAAGAAAGAGAGGGAGAGAAAGAAAGAGAGGAGAGAGGGGAGAGAGAGAAAGAGAGGCGGGAGGGAGAGAGAGAGGGGAGAGAGAAAGAGAGGAGAGAGAGAGGAGAGAGGGGAGAGAGAGAAAGAGAGGGGAGAGAGAGAAAGAGAGGGGAGAGAGAGAAAGAGAGAGGGGACAGAGAAAGAGAGGGGACAGAGAAAGAAAGAGAGCGTGTGTGTGAGAGAGAGAGAGAGAGAAAGAGAGGGGAGAAAATGTGAGAGAAAGAATGTGTGTGTGTGTCTGCATAATTCTATGAAGTTTTTTCTGATGCATTTTTCTTGTTTGGCGACGCGCGATTTCGTTTCTGGACATAGTGTATTTAGAAATTGTCCAAACGATAATCTCCCACACTTATGGCTAATATATTAACCATTGTCAATGATTTTGGACTCGTTTATCAAGACGGTTGACCTTAAAAACTTTCGGATAATGGCTTTAGAAAGTTCCATTTAAATCAATAGGAAAATATACCAAAATCCAAACGCAAAATACTGGACGAAATATAATACACACCTTTAAATGTAAATCTATCTCAAAGTGTTCATTATCTATCTGAGACTGTTCATTATCTATCTATCTATCTGAGACTGTTCATTATCTATCTATCTGAATTTTGACTTTTTTAATTTTATAACCAATAGAAAAAATTGTCGAAAATTAACAAATTATTCTGAATAAAATTTAGCCTTTATATAAAAGATAAATAAATTGCTGAAATCTATACCAATAAATAAAGAACCGTTTGGTTTTCTTCTTCTAATAATTTCACCGTATAAAGAAGATAAAGCCACTAAGACGCCAAGAGTTACTGAACGTAAGGAAATGTTGTTGAGAAGAAAGGAACAATAACAATAGCAGAAATCAAAGCGACAGATGATGATTTTGAAGTACTAAAAAGTACCGAAAAGTAATTTAGGATTAATCTTCAACCTAGGAAGCAGGTTTTTGGACAGACTAATGTCTAGAACACAACCACGAAGGCCTCCAACTGAATGAATCATTCGCAAGGACTACCGACTGATAGTAACAATACCGAAGAAAATGAACCGGCTGAGAATGTCACTTCAGACAAAAAAACTGTGAGTATACAGCAGTCTCAGATCAAATTTCCTTCTAAAATTACATGCCCAGGAGAACGTATTTGAATGATAAGCTCCGCTTGTGGTCGGGGGTGTATTGTGGCAGTTAAAATGAAATAAAACAAAATAAGCACTTTTTCTCTATCACGCAAAAAATAAGAAACGGAAACGATTTAATGAGTTGACCTCTAACCCAGAATTCCATAACGAGGTCCTTCCTCATTTCACAAAGTCCCTTTGCTGAGATCGGGCGTCGCATATCACTCCGTTAATCTTAATATTCGGATATGACCCTTCCCACCACCAAAAAATAAAAAAAAGAAGAAAAACGTCTAGAGGCTCTTACTGCACCTTCATTTAAACCGCAGCAGCCATATTTAAATGCATGACATAATTGTAGTCTAAGGAGAACCTGACTTCGCCTTGTGCATTTCCCCTGCAATAAAGAAGACCTACTGTTTTTCTCTGTGTTTGTGGACTATAGGCATCCTATAAATCAAATAATTACTTTACACTTATTACGGATGAACATTACGGAAATTCAACATTAAATTTAACTCAACAAGTGCTGAAATATCGCAAAATCAGTCTAAAATATAAATAAACAGAAAAGAAAAAGAAAAAAAAGATGGTTGTAGTCTATATACCTGAGAATTCCGAACTGCTTGTGTCATCGTAACTGTTGGATTTTATAGACACGATGGATTCGATTGTATAAGAAGCTGTGTAAAGGGCCAACATGGTAATGTCCATATAATTCCACATCTGTGCAAAGTATTCCTTGACGCCCTCGTCCCACAACTGTTTACATTCTGCCCAAAACATACCTGCAGAAACAGAAAGGAAATTTTCTTCATCCACATTTACCAAGATAAAATTATATTTGGACAGTAGTTTCGCTGTACAGTTTATGTGGCTTCAAAATTAACCAATAATAATGTGGATTCTTATAAGCTCTTCGATTATATAGAATACTCTTATACAAATAAAAAATTAAAAAGCTGAAAAAAATCTGGTAAAGTATTGTTAACTCAAAGCTTTAATTAAAACATTGCTTTTGTATTCGAAGCGTAAGAGGCCATTGCGTGGGACGCTTGAATAAGAGTGTGTTAGTTCTAATCTCATTCAGTATTCAGTGAGGCTGTCATGTTTCAGACATGCACACACACACACACACACACACACACACACACACACACATATACATATATATATAATATAAAAGGCTCAAACACTAATATCCCATAGTTATAATTTATTACATTGGAATCGTAATCACGATCCAAATTATCAGACCTTTGAATTTGTAGGTCTGAGAATTTGGATTGTGGTTACGATTCCAATGTAATAAATTATAACCATGGAATATTAGTGTTTGAGCCTTTTATATTATATTCTTACTCTGTCCTAGACATTGAGTTCTACCTGGATTCTAACCTCTTGGGAATTTATATATATATATATATATATATATATATATAATAATAATAATAATAATAATAATAATAATAATAATAATAAAAAGACTTAAACACTAAAAAGCAACACACAACCCATACACCAATTAAAAAGCAACACACAGCCCATACACCAATTAAAAAGCAACACACAACCCATACACCAATTAAAAAGCAACACACAGCCCATGCGCCAATTAAAAAGCAACACACAACCCATGCACCAATTAAAAAGCAACACACAGCCCATGCGCCAATTAAAAAGCAACACACAACCCATGCACCAATTAAAAAACAACACACAGCCCATACACCAATTAAAAAGCAACACACAACCCATACACCAATTAAAAAGCAAAAATAAAATCATCCTTGATAATGGCTAAATGTGTAGACGAAAGCGCTCGGGATTATAGAAAACTTGAACAGTTTCTACACACTTTGTTTCCGAAAAAGAAAAAAATCTTGTTCGAGCACAAGAAAAATTAAATAAAACCATAATCGTATTAGCTTGTCGTCTTCAATGAAACATATATAAATGGAGGATTGATAAATATACAATATATAAGACAGGTTTCATTGAATAAT